TGTTTGCATGAAGCTACAGGAGAATGGCCAAAGAAATACAAAGGAAGCACTTGTTTGCTCTATCACCCTATGAAAAAAGAAAGAGTTATTGTGTTTAGAACAGCACAATGACAGCAAACAAGGCTGATCAGAGGCTGCACTCTAGGCCCTGAAACAGCTAATAAATGCCTCATTGACCCCAGTTACTACTGATCACCCAGCATGCTGTCTGGTATAATGGGTGACAAAAGCAAGCTTGATGCACCTTGCAAGTTGCCATTGGATGCAGCCACCTTAAAGGGGAAAACAATTATTTTAGGAAGGGTACAGCAAGGCCATCACTTAAGACTTTCAATAAGAGATTGGACTCCCATCTGTCAGAAATGGTGTAGGGTCTCCTGCTTGGGCAGTGGGTTGGACTAGATGCCTTACAAGGTCCTACAAGGTTCCTTCCAACTCTGATTATCTGTTATCTGTCTGTTATCTAGAACAATTTAAGTTTGTCTCACTCAAGAGTTGAGATTGAGATGAAGGCAATATCCTGCGAGGAAAAAAGAGGGATCCAAGGGTATGAGGACCCAGAGTGTTGGGGGCAATATGCTGACTCCGTAAACCGCTTAGAAAGGGCTGTAAAGCACTGTGAAGCTGTATATAAGTCGAAGTGCTATTGCTATGTTTGTGCCCTGGTTAGGTGTAAGGAGAAAAAGGACCTTGTTGGGTTTACTTGAAGCAACATCAGGAACTTTCTTTGATGACTAGGTCTTCTCATCATATCAGGTAGACAAGGAGACATGCTGGTCAAGATTAGCATGTAAGGAGGACCATAAAGAATTTCCCCAAATGGAAAGCTACACATGGAATTCAACAAAAACATTTAGCCCTGAATCGTTTTGAGCATATAAATTCACAAACCCTGCTGTCCTTTAGATCAAACCACTGCCTGAATGCAAAAAGAAAAGAAAAAAGGCTGTTTCGAGCATTTTGGCTATGTTTTTTTGCATGTGAAACATCTCTGTTTCTAGTGTGAAACACACTGTTTGGGGTTTGATTTTCTTCCCAAATGCTCAAAGCAGTCAATTTTGCATTCTGAATGGTAGTTTCCCCGCCTCCCATAAAATTCAAGTTGCACGGGTTAAAAATCTGCCTGATAACAGTCGCACACCTACTAGCCAAAGTGGATAGAATCACAGTTAAACATAAAAATGTTTATATTGCATCATCCCATGGCAGATTTATTAAGTGGTGAGTATATCATTACCTTATGCTCCCTGGTGTCTATTTAATTTAGCAGTGGGGATAGCTATTGCATTATTCCATCTGCTTCTACAGTTCTTTAGGCTGATGTCAAGCTGACAGTCTTGTGTGGTGGAGGCAGTTAAAGGCTGCCACTGAGTTGACAAGCTGAGGCTTTTTGAGCTTCTCTTTTTCCTTTCCATTTTTTAAGAGCTTTGTGCCTCCCCTACATACGAGAAACCTGCCCTGTTTTTGATCTGGATGAATTAATCCAAATTAAAAATTCTAGAACCAACCTTACACTTGTTCATATCCTAGGTCAACATCAAAACAACGGGCCCCATCAATTGTGATACAAAATTAAATCTTCTTCTTTTAAAGACCCTGTAATCCCTTGTGGAGTAGAGTTTTGGGCAACTGAATGGAGCTGAGTGTTTAGTGGCCAGATGCCCTTCCTGTCACCAATGCGGAGATTGTTTCATCAGATATATTCTCATTGTGCCTGGAGAGAGAAATATTTGCCTCTACGTAGGATTGAACTCACAGCCTCCTGGTTGTGAGGTGAGAGCTTCACCTCTAGGCCACACCACCACTCTGTGACATAAAATTAAATATAAATTGAAATCACATGTAGGAGAATAGCACCCTTTGGGCTCTGATGGATTTCTGCATTGCTCTCTTGTATAATTTAATCAGGCTGATTTCAATTCACTATTAAGAAACTTATTTGGTTAGTAGTTTGTTTGTTTGCGTTTTTTTTTTGTAGAAATCTATGTGCAGGAGGGATGATCCACAAAAGAAACTCACTAAAAATAAATACTCTAAATGAAAAAAAAAACCATAGTAAGGTTTGGGATAAATTAGTATAATTAGCTTTTAATACATGTCATCTTTGTAAAATTGTAAAGTAAAAAAAAACAAAACCCTGCCCCTTTGAATGTACATACGCAAAACAGAAAATATAAAATGAAAAGGGCTGGTGAAAATGAAATGGAGCAAAGTGAAGCAGTAGAAGAATTTTATCCTTCAAAACCCCTTCTCTCTTAGAAGTGAGGAAGGCATACTGTTTTGCAAAGCAGCTTTCTGGGGGTGCTTAAAAGATAAGTGCCCTTATAAGCACTCCAGGGATAACAGTTCTTGCTCTTTCTTCCCTCACCCATATCAATGTGTGTGACATGTAACCTAGGAAGCTAAAGCTTTGTTCAGAGATGTAATTCACACAGTCCACAGAGATAACCTATTTGCCACCAAGCAAATATTCACAAGTGGGGGTTCTGGCGTATTCTGCCTGAAAGGCACAACTGAGTAAATAATACTTTTTTTCTCCCCCTGTTTAGATATCCAAACAAATCCTCAGCTGTACCAAGTATAGGGGATTCTTGGTTAATGGCAACTCATTCAGTGACTGCTCAAACTAATGACAGCACTGAACAAGGTCCTGCTGTCATTGGGCCTTGTCGTCATGTGAATGCTATCCTGGCACTTGCCCACCAGCGTGGATTTCTGACTATTACAACACCCCCACGGTCACGCAGTCATGATTTGCAAACTTCCCTACTGTTTTCCCACAAGCAAAATCAATGGGGAAGCTGGCAGAAGTCAGCAGTTGTGGTTACATGAAGTCTTCACTTAAACACCCGTGGAATTTGTTTAGTTGATGGTAACTGAGGATTGCTAGAACTGTTAGGCGCCAAGATCATGCAATTGCAACAACCATTAATGGTGGTTAAGCAAGCACTGCCTGTTATGTGGACTAAGAAATAGGTACAAAACAGAATGGAAAAGGAAGGGATTGTTTCCAACCCACAGAACATAATAATTCAGATTGCTATGTCCAGCATTTTAATAAACAATTTAGAACAGTTTCTACAAAGACCTGAGAATATGGTCAGTGGTATGGAAAGCATCCAAAAGAATAGAATACTCTTAGCTTCAGAAAGGGCAAATGGTACAACAAGCATCATCAAACACGAGCTGGATATACTGCTGTTTGGTACTCCAGAGGCCACATTAAAGGTGGGGAGTAAATTACATTTGGTGAAACATCTTAAAAAGAAGAGTTGTTTGCAATGGCACTTTTTTGCTGTGGTTTTTAAGTCAAAGTTATATTACCGCGGGGCCTTTAGCTCTACATTTTCTGGATCCAGCAGGAAACGGAACTAAGTACTTCACCTAAGACCTCCACCTCTATAATATATGAGTCTATATGTCTATCAGTCATCCAGGTCATGGTTGTCCCAAAGATGCTTTATCCGAGAGGCAACTGGACTTTCTGGTTTTTCTTTGAAGACGTTTTGCTTCTCATCCAAGAAGCTTCTTCAGCTCTTCACCTTCTTCCAAAGCTGAAGGAACTTCTTGGATAAAGCATCTTTGGGACATATGAATCTATAATTGTAACCTGCAGGCTGCATAGTCTTGATTTTCCACACCAGGGGGTGCTTTGAGGTTCTTGGTAAGAAAGCACCCGGCTTAACCATTCTGGAAACCAACAGCTTGGAATTGAAGTGGTAACTCCTTCATTCCTTTTCTTTAACAGAGCTATGCAAATATGGATCTGTGGATCTGCTTTGGGTCAACACATGTTTGAATGACAAACCCCCTGGAGTTTGCTTTGCAAAACAAGATTGCTCCCTACTTCCAAGGGAAGTGTCAGGAAAGGCCTCGGATGAAAGCCGCTTCCAAGTAAGCATCAGAGGAGACTGCAAGGTGCACGCCTTGAATCCAAAACCACCCTATATGGACATAATGAAGTTTCCTCTTGCCAAGAGTCATTATTTATGGGAGACCAATATCTCTACTGTTGTTCCCAGGGCTATATATCATTCAAAACATAGCCTTGGAGGAGTGCTGAACTGTGGACAAGAAGAGGAATTAAAATTCCCCAAGCATAGGAAACTCTGGTGGCATAGTGACTAGAAAGTAGTATTGTAGGCAAACTCTGCCCACAGTCTGGAATTCAAGCATGACCAGCTCAAGACTGACTCAACCTTCTACCCTTCCAAGGTCAATAAAATGAAGACCCAGACTCTAGAGGGCAATATGCTGAGATTGTAAACCACTCAGAGAGTGTTGTAAATGCACTATGGGGCAGTATATAAATCTAAGTGCTATTGCTATAGGGCAGGGCCTACCAGAGACAAGTAACTAATGACTTATTAAGGTTGTATCTATCCACCTGGGAAGGTTACCTCAAGTGGATCTGCTGAGAGTAATCCCCCAACATAGACCTGTCCATTGCAGGTCTCAAGTGCTGGAATTCACCACCAGCAGAGGTTTGTGAAGACTTTCCCATCCAGATGTTTCATAAAGCAATTAAAACAAATGGTTCTTTCTGGCTTTTAACCTGTTTTTATTGCACTGGGGTTGTTAATGCTGTTTTATATGTTTTATTTTGATCAATCAATCAATCGTTAGTTGGAAGTTCAATGATAACAGGATGCATTCAAATATCTGAGACACCTGAAGTCAAGATGCTATGGAGAACCTATCAGTTCCTATTTCTTTGCAAAATATATATTTTGCAGCATTGGTATAAAAAAACCTTACTATCTTTCACCTTTAATATTTTAAAGGTATTTGGATCTGCAGCACGGATTGGAGAAACTGGGGGGATGAAAGGCAAGATGGCCAATGCAGCTTCAAGATGCTACGTTTACCATTTTGCCTTTTTGGACATCTCTTTCACCCCATCCTGCTTGGGACACTATTGGTTGGATGGGCTGACAAATAGGAAAATCTTAACTGGTAACAAAATGAATTGCCCCACCCACTCCTCCCAACCTCCTTACCGATGATAGGTTTTCTTCTCTTCTCCGTCCTTGGCTGGGCCGATTGATGAAGGACCTTGCAGAAAGTTTGTAGTGATTCAGCAGACACGTGATGACAACCACCATGACCATCATTACCACCACAATTATGATTATCTGTACAAACTCTAATTCCGCTATAAAAGAAAGACAAAGAGACAAAGGTTGTATTTTAACAGGTCTCAATGCAAACCAGAAACAGATAAATAAGAGCAAAGAACAGTAGCTGTTGACAACAATTAGTCATAAGAACTAGCACCTTACTATTATTTCCCCTTTGTGTGGCATGCCTTTTCTCAAGTGTAAGCTTGAGAATAAGGAAAATTGCTTTACTGTCCATTAACTATTCAGGGAAGCCACCTGAGTGAAGAGCGCGGGGTAGATGCTTTATATGAGGGCACAAAGCAACAATTTCTTTGTGTTGTCACAAAACAAAAGAAGAAGCATGAGTTTAAAAGTTTGCAGTATTCTGAACAAAAAGGATTTGAAAATGGCTTTTATACATTTAACTTTCTCTACCTCCCCTTAAGAGATTGCATGCAAAAGGAACATGAGATAATGTTCAAAGACACCACTGATTATTTGAATCTTCCAAAGTATGAAAGATTAATCAAGTAAGACAACTCCTCCTGGGAAAAGAATATTAATAATAAATGATAACAATAATGAAGCTTACATCCTATGACAATACCACCAAATGGCAATATCAGCCTAACCTAAGACTTCGCAACGAACTTGATAGGTGGATAAAAATGCCAAATCCAGTCTAAACACCTGGCCGACTGTGTGGCAAATCATCATCATCATAAGACAGAATGCCAGCAAGGACATCATCATAAGACAGAATGCCAGCATAGCCAGTTTCTGCAAAGACGGATGGGAAAGTGGATAAAGATAAAACCTGGCAATGTCCTACAACTGGGACATTAAAAAAAGAAACTGAAGGCTTGATTTTGATGGCTCAAGAGTAAACTATGGCAAAGTATTGCAATCAAGGCCAGAACTGAAAAATCATCAAATGATTCAAAGTGCATATTGTGCAAAGAAGCAGAAGAAACAGTCAACCATATACTCAGCTTATGCAAGAAGATTGCACAAAATGATTATAAACAACAACATAACACAATTGCCAAATTAATCACACGGACATCTGTAAAAACTATCATGTGCTAATAAGGAAAAATAGATGGGAACACAGAGTTGAAAAAGTAGTTAAAATCAACTGAAAGTGTGGCTAATTGATGTGGCAATACGAAAAGATAGTAGAAGACAAAGAACTAGAAAAGATCACAAAGGTTCAAAAATCTGAAAATTGAAGTTGAAAGATTGTGGCATAAATTGGCCATGGGAACCCATGGCCAGTTATCATTTATCAGCAAATTATCATTTATCAGAAAACTGGATGGCATATAAAAAAAATTGGACAACAGTTACACAATCTGTGCATTGACAACATTTTCATCTGTCAATTACAAAAGGCCCCACTGCTTGGATCTTCACTACAGTACACAGATGAATTATGACCACCTAGTTTCTTGGGAAGAACTTGATGCATTTGAAACCAACACCAGCTAAAGAACTGGCAAGAGTGATTTCACATGAATAATAATAATAATAATAATAATAATAATAATAATAATAATCCGCATTGACAAATTCACCACCAGTCAATTGCAAAAGGCAGCTTTACTAGGAACAGCTTACATCCTGCGATGATATCTGTAACACAATCAAATATTCATTTTTGCCTATCCCAAGTAAATTGGAAGGACTTGATAGGTGGACAAAGTACCAAATCCAGTCTGAACATCTGGCTATTATTAATATTATAGGTAGTCTTTGACTTACAACCCACAGCTGGGAACAAATTTCATAAGTTATTGTAGTCCTAAGTAGAGGCACCACATGACCCCCACTATTTTTATAGTGATCATTAAGCAAATCACATGGTTGTTAAGTGAACCATATGGTTGTAAATGTGAACCCATTTTATCCAATGAACATTTTTGCCGGTTTTTTGCTAGAAAATGGCAAAAAACATTGCAAAGTATGGTCACATGATTGTAGATGTTGTAACCAGTCCTAAGTGGGAGCTAGTTGCCAGATCTTCATCATGGGATCACTGACTTGATGTGGCAGTCATCACTTAGGAATGAGTCATAAATAACATTTTTTTAGTCCATCGCAACTCTCAATGCTCATTAAATAACCTATCATAAGTTGAGGACTACTGGTAATACAAAATACACCATCAGTCACTGCAAAAGCTCCCTTTATTTGGAAGAGCTTATATCCTGTGATTAAAAACCTTTCATATTCTTAAACAGCAACATCTGCCTATTTCTCTTTGGGAAGGACTCGATACATCATGGGTGTCAAACTCGCCGCATCATGTTGCCATCACATGACATATCGTGACATTTTTCCCTTTGCGGAGCTGGGGTGGGTGTGGCCTGAACATGACACATCCGGCCCATGGGCCATTTGTTTGACACCCCTGCAATCCATGACAAAAATGCCAAATCCAGTCTAAACATCTAGCTGCCTGTGTGACCAACCATAACAACAACAACCTATATGCCGAAAATCATCACCGCAATTTCCGATCGCTGATTCTCAACCAGAAAACAAAGCCATCTAACACGTAACACTAAACGTACAGTGTTAAAAAGTACTACCTGGAATGTCGACTTCAAATTGGCAATTAAAAAAAAATTACCTCCCCTTCTCCCGCCCCACCCACCCACCCCCAAATATCACAGTTACTTTTGCAGTGAATAAATCAAGGCAACCTAGTGGAAATGAGTAAGGTAAAAGTTGGAAGTGTGAGAATTTTTGAATTTACCAAACAAAAGGTGTCATCTATTACTAAAAGGGAAGTCCACAGTTTAATCTGAAAGTGAAAGGTAGGCTAATCCCCCTCCCCCTCATCTCAAATTTATTAAAGGATTGTCTAAGATTCAGGGGAGGAGATTGTTTTAATTCTGACATTCTTCCTTTGGGATAAATACAGCATTATCACCTCACTTAGAGAGCCTTAAAAATGCAGCGGCATTTGACTTTTTTTTTTTAACCCAACTGTGGCCAACTGTCCGTTGCACCCACCTTCTTTTCTCTATGCTTCAAGAAATCCCTTCCAGATAGTCAACTGCAGCATTCACATGGCACCAATCCACAGAGTGACAACAGCCTGGCCAATGGAAAGCCAGAGCGCCCCCCCCCCCCCCCCGCGGGCATTTGCCCACCACTGAAACTGCAGCCGCGGCTTCCAAGCTGATCCCCAGGGGTCTCTGCATGCCAGACTTCCAGACGTAATTTAATTCAAGCCTCAGTTCAGCCAGCTGGCATAGGCAGCTTGAATGACCTGAACTAGCACACAAGTGCCTCGCAAAGGGAGGCAGGAAGACAGGAAGATGTACAAAGCTGTCAAGGAAACAAGAGCAATCAACAACAGGCTACTCGGAGGGTCTGAGAGAGAAGACACACAACCCTTATGCAGAAATAAGTCCCTAAGTTTTCCATTACAAATGCAGAAGGGCAGACGCGGATGCCAGATATGGATATATCTGGTTCCAGTTTAGTCCACGGAGGAAACAGATGCAGCCCCAATCAAACTCTGTCCTGTCTAAGGACCAAGACCAGGGGTGGGATTCTACCAGTTCGCACCTATTTGCTAGAACTGGTTGTTAACATTCTAAGCAGTTCGGAGAACCGGTTGTTAGAAGAAATTACTGGCCTAATCCTGTAAGGAAGGCAGGAAGGAAACATTCTGGTGTTGCTTACAGAAACTGCCTCTCTGTTAACCCTTATTACATTCTTGGCAGGACTTCCTGTCTCTGGTACTTCTCTGGAGTTTTTCCCCCCTCCTTTGCTGGTCCTTTGCTTATGTGGAGTGACCATTCAAAGTTACAGTGGCACTGAAAAAAGTGACTTATGACCATTTTTCACACTTATGGCTCATGCAGCATCCCCACAGTCATGAGAGGCCAGGCGAGGAGATGCGTGCCTTGATGTGAGTGATATTGAGTTGGCCACGCCCAGCCAATAACATGACCACCAAACCATGCCCACCAACTAAGCCACACCCACAGAACCGGTTGTTAAAAAATTTGAATCCCACCCCTGACCAAGACTGTGTGAAGCCCAATGAATGTTTTATGGTTCTCTAGGTGGAATGGAGCAATTGCTCTTTCCCTTGTAGATGGCAGGTTCAAGGGAGCTAATAAAGGTCCATATCTTAGTTGGCCTCGTGTTTGGTGCAGATCAATATTTCTCAAAATTGACAACAAGGCCAGCTGGCTGGGTAGGAAGTTAGCACCCACCCCTATCCTAGAAAATTGAAATATCCTAGGAAATATTAAAAAGGCAGAATATTTCCTCTAAAAAGAGTAGAAACCCAGAAGCAGGAACTCACTTCAGAAGTAGAAGCTCACCCCCACCTTTGTTAATGGGAAGGCCATTAAGGCCTGGGCCAGAATATTTTACATAACAAAGATCTCCAGGTAAAGCTATAGCAATTGCCCATAGCCCTTTTCATTACTTCATCATCCAGCAAGGCTCAACCAAGCTTGGAACTCAGGACAGCCTACAGCGTTGCCCCTGCATGGCCCCATGGAAGCCTGACAACCAATCAGAATACAAGCTCAATACAAGCTCAAATTCAAATCTCAACAGAGGGTATAAAACCAGACACTTTCAGCCCTCCTCCTCCTTCTCTCTTTTCCTTCATCTCGAAGCATGTGATCATCCTTTTCACTTTGGAGCTCCAAGCCACGTGGTCCTGTCCCCCATTAAACCATCTTTCCAAACAGCCTCCACGTTTCCAGTGTCTTTTTCCCCACTTGGAACTGAACCCAGAAGGATCATTCTTCCAACAGCTGGCTGTGGAATTTCTTCAACTGCACACGTCTTAAGTTGCCAAATTTGAGAAGCACTGGTGTAGATGAAGTGTAATAGGAAAGCTGTACATATTTTGATTACTTGCTTCTTTAAAACAGTAATTACATTTTAAGAGTTGTTATCCGATGAGCAACGTGTGGCTTCGTAGTCTGTACTGGAGATCGATGGAGGCAGGTCCATACATGTTACCAAATGCAAAAAATTACCAAATTCAAAAAAAATTACTACCAGTTCTGTG